AGGTGAAAGCAGACAGTTGATTTTAATGTCGAACAGTAATTGACCCTTAGGTAAGCTTTACCACACATCTACTCCATCACTTAAACCTATTTCTCCTTCCGTAACAGTGCAGACTTTCCTGTCTCAGCTCATTTGTTGCTCAAACCCTCATCCATATTCTTGTGAACTCTACATTTAACTGTTGCAATGCACGTTTTCCAAGCTGCCCACATTTTATCCTCCTCAAGCTGGAGATCATCCAAAATTCTGCTGCCCATGTCTTTATTCTCTCACAGCTCCATATGCCCATCACTACTGTGCTTGCTGACCTGTATTGGCTACAGGTCAAACAATGCTGATTTTCCACCTTGTTTGAATGCTCCTTCGGCTTTGCTACTCCCTATATCTTTAATCTTCAGCCATTCGACCCTCATCTGTGCTTATTAAACTGTTGGGAATCCTTGATTTAATATAATGCTACTAATGGTAGCCTTGCCCTCAGCTGGCAAAACTTTAAGCTGTGAAATTTTCTCTTTCTCTCTCTTTCTTTCTTTTTCTCTCTCTCCTTCCCTACCACCACTTGTTCTTGTGTCTTTCCAACTTTGTATGGTTAAGATCCCAGCTGATGTTACTACTGGACAAATTAGATACCAAAGTGAATCATGTCTTTGATTAACCACCAGATTAATATTACAGACACATTCACATGAGGCTGCATGTGGCCTTCAACAATAGAATGTATGTTCAGCACACAAGAAAAATAATCAAAAATGAGCTATTACTTCAAAAGAAATGATTTTAAAACAATTTTAAAACCAAGTTTCAACCTGTGTCTTAAAGCCATCCATTATCAAGTTCATCGAAATTACACCCTATCTCAACTCTTAAGATTTCTACTAAACTAACTACTTTAGATTCTCTGTAGTCCATGAGGAAGAATGTGGATGTCTGGTGAGATGATTTTTCCTTAAGTCAAAGGGGCTAAAGTTTTATCAATCTAATAATTTGTTCATATGTCACCAGACTCTTCTAGTCTGGAAGTCAAACCAAACAGTTCTGCTGGGGTAACTGGCTTTGTAGAATTCTTACTGGGTGAGATGCTTCCAAGACATTTCCAAACTCCATTCTATTGCTTTCTGAACTCAACTGAGTTCTCTACTTTACTTTGCCTTTTGTTTTAATATAAAATGAATGACTTCTTGTACATCAGGCCAAAAGTAAAAAATGAGAATGGGGTTGAGAAACATGATCGAATGGTAGAGCAGACTCAATGGGCCGAATGGCCTAATTCTGAACCTGTATCTTATGGTGTTATTTCAATAACAGTCACGTGCTTTCTGAACCATGTTGTATCTAGGTCACTGTTCCATATTAGTTTGCTGACATTTTTACAAAATAAACTTCATAAAACTGCCTTCATAAAACACATCAGTCGTTCTGTCTTTAAGATAACATACATCACGTCTTTCATCATACTATCTCTTTCCTGCTTAAGATACTTCTTACTGAGCTCCTTTGACTGAGCTTGGGTATCTCATAATAATGCCTTACATGGCTCAGTTTCCAACTTTGCTTCATAACAATCATGTCAAGTGCCTTGTGATGTTTTTAAGTTGTTAAATAGCAGTTCTTGTTGGTAGTTCATCTCATTGCCATTGCTGGATGTCTGGTTGTCCTTTGACATGGTGCCAGATTCAAACTAACACCAGCAGAAGGGAAATCCATGTCACAGATTGCTAGATCATTCTGAGCAGCTTCCTTGGAGGTTGATGTAACTGGTTGTTTGCACAACTTGAGCTATCCTCCAGTGGCAAAGTTCATACACCTGAAAAGGGTGATGTCTCCGACTTCTTCGCACTTGTTTCATTATCTGTGCAATTTGCTGTCTGGTCATTTTTGACTTGGTAATCTCGTCCAAAAAAAAACTAAAGGTAACTGAAAAGACATGAAAAACTCTCCCTAAAGGCACATCCAATTTTGTTGGATTCTTTGTTGGACCTGGCAAAGTTCGATGGGAGAGATTCTTGAATTAGCAAAATCTAGAAATCCCAACAAAAAAAGGTCAGAGTTTCTGTGATATTTTCAACAAAAGGTGGCTGTGAGTTCTAGTAGAATGTGACAGGATCACTATCCTCTTTCCTTCCACTTCACTGTCCTTTTGGGTACATGTGACTATAATAAATCAAACATCCTCCTTTTGCATTAACTACTGGAGTAGAGAATCAAACAGTGATATCACGCTGACTAATTGGGGAGGTGATAGCCTAGTGGTATTATTGCTAGACCATTAATCCAGAAACTCAGTTAATGATCTGGGGACTGGGGTTCAAATCCTGCCACGACAGATGGTGGAATTTGAATTCAACAATAATCTGGAATTAAAAATCTACTGGTGACCAGGAAACCATTGTCGATTGTTGGGAAAAACCCATCTGGAAGGAAATCTGTCATCCTCATCTGGTCTGGCCTATACGTGACTCCAGACCCACAGCAATGTGGCTGACTCTCAACTGTCCTCTGAAATGGCTCAGCAATCCACTGAGTTCAAAGGCAGTTAAGGACTGACAATAAATGCTGGCCAGCCAGCGACGCGCACATTCCACAAGTTATTTTCTTTTTAACAACTGCTTTCAGAAGCCCTTGTTGGTTTTATTCCTTGTTAACGTTTCGCGTCTGGTGACCTGCTGAGCTTTTCCAGCAACTTCTGTTTTTGTTCCTGATTTACAGCATCCGCAGGTTCTTTCGGTTTTTATTTTGTTTTATTCCTTATTCAGCTGATGTTAGTTTGAACCATCAGGAAGTAGTGTGAACGAAGTTGTGTGCGGTATAGAGAGAGAGAGGGAGAATTGAAGCACAGAAATTAATCTTTGACTTTTTGTAGCCTGCAGTTTTTTTTCTTGCGAGAATGATGTTTTCTGGTACTAATTCCTCCCTTGCACGTCTCTGTGCTAAAGATTGACATTCAACTTGCTTGAGTGACTCCGTTTAAATACTGTTTAGAATGATCCAAAGCGCTGACTGACAGGACTTGTTTAGTTTCCATCACGCTTTAAGTACATAATCTTTGCCTGAGGTTTTCCAGAGCAGCGTGGCTGAGATAGGAACCCCATTAGATTATACGGACGGAAAGTGTATTGGTATCTCTATAACCATCTGCTATGCTACCATGAAACATATTTTGCATTTAAAGTGCCTCTCCACTCGAAGGGTTTATCATTTGAGAAGTTCACTTAAAAAGTAAAACGGAACATCATTCGCATTTCATAGAATCCCTACAGTGTGGAAACAGGCCCTTCGGCCCAACACGTCCACACCGACCCTCGGAGCATCCCACCCAGACCCATCCCCCTACACACTCCGGGGTAATTTAGCATGGCCAATCCATCTCGCCTGCACATCTTTGGACTGTGGGAGGAAACCCACACAATCACCGGACGGCGGAATCGAACCTGTCCCGGTATTAACCACTGAGCCACCGTGCCGCCTATGGCTGCATTGTTTCGCTAGGAAAAAAAGGTTACTTTCAACACTTTTTTTTTCGGTGTATTTCTAAGTTGTTTTTTTTTCCCCTAGACTATCTAATTCTAAATGCTTTTCGGGCAGAAATGCTTGTCCCGATAACCCAGTGCGCTGAATGAGCGTGGATAGATAGGTCTCCGTCAGATCATCAAGCGGCACTCTCTCACACTCTCCATTCTGCTCCGTGCGCTACATCGGGTCAATGTTTTCTTTATGGAGCGCGAAAGTGTTTGCAGTTAACTTGTGCGATATCCAGTACCCTGTGGCACATAAACCAAGCAGCTTGACGTGTAAGTTTTTCTATCTTGGCTTTGGTCTTCCAGTGGTTCCAAACAGCCCTAGATTTCTAAGAAATTGCTGGAGAAACTCAGCAGATCTGGCAGCATACGTGAGGAGAGATAGCAGTCAATGGTTCTGAAGAAGGGTCCAGACCCGAAACGTCAGCTTTCCTGCTCCTCTGATGCTGCCTAGTCTGTAGTGTTCATCCAGCTCCACACCTTGTTATCAAAGGTAACCGGGCTCGAACCAATCTTCAGAACCGTTCCGAACTGAAGGACCACTGGAATCAAGGCATTAACTCTCTCCAAAGATGTGCCGGACCTGCTTGAGTATTCGCGGTTCTTTGTTTTATTCTACATTTCAGATGTTAGCAATAACTGCTGTTCAGAATACAAATCTTGTAAGGATTTGTTGCATTATTTCGACAACGATTATTTCTGGAAAGTTGCTCTGAAAATGCTAATTTATTATGTGGTACAACATAATGCATTATTTTTTAAAATTACAACAGCAGTATCGAGGGGTTTACTGTCTGGTGCTGCCGTACAAGTACTTAGTGCGGTCCATAATGCACACTTAGTTTTTTTTCCAGTTCCACATCTGTTAAATCAGGAGCAGAACAGTGATGGGACATGCATCAGAGTGTGCAAGTGAAGGAAGTTCCTCTGTGTGATATTGTACTTTAAGCAATCTGTTTCTAATTATACCGCACTGGTAGAGAGGGAGAAGCTGCCAGACCCAGGACGCTCATTTGGCCCCATCTGCGGTGGCAGGTTGAACTCTGTGTGTAGGAGTGCTCCATTACCCTCCTCCACAACCACCACCACCACCGCACCTTCCCACCCCCACCCCCCACTCCGCTCAGCCGCCTCCTCTCCTCCCCAGACCACCCCCCCCCTCCCCGTCTCTCCTCCCCTACTCACCCAACCCTAGCCTGCGGTCCTCTCCCTGTATCCTTCCCCTACCCCACCATCAGCTCACCCTCACCGGTCTCTCCTTTCATTCTCCCCCCCCCCCCGCCAGGGTAACGCTGCGCTGCAGCGAAGTGACCGTCCCTCTTGCCCCTACATACAGCACCCCCCACCACACCGCCAGGAAAGGGATCGCACCTGGAAGGGGGGAGGGAGGAGTAGGAGGCGGGGGTGGAGGAGAGAGGAGAGAGCCCTGGTGGAGGAGGGGGAGAAAGAGAAGGGGGGGGGTTGGTTGAGAGGAGGAGACACGGGGCGGGGGGTAGCGAGCGGGCGCAGTGATTCTTTTTTGGCGAGATACCCGGCCGCTGGAAGCTGCCCGGCCCCCGGCTCGGAGGGAGAGAGGGAGTTGCTGGTTCCCCGAGCTCCGCTGGGGAGGACGCTCAAGGTATGATTGAGCTGCTGCTGTTCTGCTTACTGTGGTCGCCATGTTTCAGAGTGTGTGTGTGTGTGTGTGTGTTACCCCCTGTCCCTGACAGCGCTCTCTCTCTCTGTTTCAGTCGGTGGGACGTGGGCAGTCACTGGCGATGCTGAGCTATAAAGGGGCCCCCGCTCTCTCTCTATCTGTCCGCAGGTCGCCTTCCCAATCTGCGTCTCTCTCTCTCTCTCTCTCTTTCTCTCCCTGACAGTCGCTGGGGGAGAAATAAACCAGCACATTGCCCTCGGTTCAGCCCCCCCCCGGAGCTAATCCAGTGTCGGGACACCCACCGTTACAGCCATTTATATTGCAGCCGTTTAGAACTGTTGGTGAACTCCATGCATTCAGTAGAATAAGAAGCTGAAAAGACTGATTTGAAATTGTAAATAGGTTGTCTTAAAAATAAATACAACGGTGTATTCGTGTCGTCAACCCTAAAGGCGTGGGGCTTGTTCGCGTGATTTATCAATAATTTTTTTTTCCAGACGTACTGTGTAACATTTTGTGTCTGACTGCAGATTTGTCTACGTGTTACTGCACAGTCCTTTTTATTAAAAAAAGGAGGGAGATCCCTTGGCGTGATTCATTTCTTTTTGGTCAGTAAGATGAGTTGCAGCTTTGACTGTTTGTCGGTTGCCAGCAGTTCTGCAATGCGGTGGGTGTGGTGTGGAGTCAATGGCAGTTTGTAGCCCGCTGCAGTGACAGCACACTCCGGGCCGCATCGTCAATGAGACAGGCTCTCGCCACCACCTCTCACTTCATTTCCCGTAGCAGGCAGAGGAAAGCTGACTTTCACCTCTCACTTCCTCTCGCTGGTAAGTTTCACAACATATGGTAGTCATCAAGAGAAACCTTTTTTAAAAAAAAAAGTGGCCGGGAATCCATCTTTGGAAACTTGCATTGCATTTCAACTTTTGGTTCTGCTTCGTATTTCCGAGGAAGGCTGCATTTCATTACTCTGACGTGCTCTTTATCGTCATTAAGAATGCCTTTTGTTTTAATACGTTCTGGTGTTAGTGCCCTTAATGTATCAGAGAACTACCAGTGATTAATCCAGGTCTGTTCAAAGATGCTGTCGCTCTAACTCAACCTGCTAAATGTAACTTAAAGTAAGTTACATTTCTTTAATTATACACTTTTTAAACCATTGTGAATGCCGAATCTTCACTCTAATTGTCTGGCATCTTCAGTTTAAAGTTTAAGATTGGAACATTTGTGCAAAATGACGTCCGATTTAATTGATGCTGCCACCTTTTGTTGAGTTTAAATCTACCCCTGGAAGTCGAAGCTTAATTTTTCTATACGGTCATGATGGAGTCATCGATCGACTGAAAAGACCTGGTGGCGAATTTGACAGAAGACCGGTTTTGAATTTATTTCAGTACTCAGTTCAAAAGAAGGATTTCAGGAGTTAATTTGTACTTTAAAATTATCTTGAGGGAAAATACTGGGTGCTTTTAATCAATAGAAAATTATTTCAAATGCTTTCTAAGTGAACAGTTACTAGAGTTGTTGCTTTGGAACAATTGTTTGCAAGTCTTTTGTACATTTTGATTTTACTTTAAATTGCCTGACCTTGAAATTTCACTTAAGGATAATGCCTACACAGCAGCAGCAGCTCGTAGAGTATTCATTTAGATTGAGCTGTCTCAGAACATTTTCAGTTTTTTCATATTTTTTTCTTGACAAATAATTGCAAATATTACCCTGCTGTAGAAAGAAGTGAAGCAGCTGCCATGAGTACATCCACCAGAGGCAACATAGCATCTGGCATGATATCTTCCTGTGACCTGGTTACTCATTGTCCTGAAAGATATTCTGTCTGAAGGACATGAAAGATTCAAGACTGAAGCATTTCCTTGTAGTTACCATATGTTATTCACAGGTACATCGCCTATTTAATATAAATGAACCACTTTACATACTTCACTGCCCGGTTTCCATTTTCTGCAATAAAAATTGAATGAATCTTGGGCTACACTTTTACATTGGTCAAATCAAACATAGTTAGAGAGGTGTTAAAAGTAGTAAGTGGCAGCCTAATATTTTAATTAATTTTGAACATTCTATGTGACTGAAATATGAACTAATTTTGATAGTTTTGGAAATGTATGTTGGATATCTTGATTATCTGATGTAAATATGGTGTAAATTTGTGGGTGAAACTGGAAGAACCGTGACACAAAACAAATGTATATTTCATACTTAGAGGGTGGATCTTGTTGCTTTGATATGTAAGTGTTTTTTAAGTGTTTCTGGAGATAATTATTACTATTGAAAAGCTCAGAGACTGCACCTTAGCTACCTGGATGAACAAACAAGCATTACATTTATGCTACTACCTTTAAAGCAGTTGTATTGTTTTAAACATTAAAATTATTTGTGCATGCACTGATAAGTCTCACCAGGAATTGTTTATTTTTTTGACCTGATTCAAATTTATTTCAAGCAGATGTTCTAAAATAGGAGATTGATTGATTGTTTTAATTTTTCAGGTGTCCCTAATTGATGTTCTTAATCTGCGTGCAATGTACCATAGATTCACAGAATTGTCTGTACAAACCAACACTGAATTTCCTTTTTGAAAGTGATTTGTAATGTGTTTTTTTTTGAGACAACAATTTTCTATCTTGTTTTAGCACACAGCTGTTGAGCTTCCAGCATCAAATGACATTCCCTCCAGCAGTGTCTGTCACTTTGTAGCCAGAATTCAGATTCAATACCCTTGAGAGATTTATTCAGCCGATTAAAGTACTTAGTGTGCAACGATTGGTTGTTGCTGAGATCCAAGTCTTGAACAGATGTTGATGGAGCAATGTCAGCCTTAGTGGACATTTTAACCCTACTCTCTGAAATCCAGCCTAGTTGGGGGAAGGGTGCAAATAAAGTAAGTGCTGTGCAAGAAAGCCCTTGGGATCCTGCTCCCTTCCTGTGAGATTGGATTTTAATCTGTTTTCAATGAGAATGTGGGACATCCATTGGAAAACAATGGTGTGTTGTGCATTAAATGTGCAAATCTAGTCTAGACGACTGCAATTTCAGCATGTTGGAGAGTTTCTCATCAAGAAGCTAATTGAGATCTCTTGTTGTATCTTAATAAACTTGTCTCATTTTAACTACTTACCCTGCTCTTACGGGCCTTCTCTTTCCCAGTTCTAGCCCTGTCTCAGCATGCGCCTTTTCTAGAAGAACTTGCTGCTGCGGGATATCCCAGAATTGATTGGGCATTCCTGGTGCAGTCGCTGGTTTTAAAAATGAACTTGCGTACCTGGGCAAGCATTGCTGGAGTTGCCCCTTTCCAAAGACCAGGAAGCCAGCCAATGCCAAAGTTGTCGCTTGAGGCACAGCGGTCTCCGGTGTCTGGAGGAATGCACAGCACTGTAGGAGGAAGATCAGTGCCCTTCTCCAATCTGCCAGCCTAAGTGCTGCCATCTTCTGACACTCCCTGCTTCTCTGCTATTTTACCTACCACCTACCAATGCTAATGCTCTACTCAATCACTATTGCCTGCACCATCTTCCCCCCTCTCGCACTCACTGATCCCAGCACTCTAACACTAACCCTGCATGCGCTCTTGCTGCCTGCTCATTGAGACACCTCCTCACCTGCACCAAAATTAACAGCTATGCCAACCACTTTTGTCTCCCTTATTTGCCTCTTTCTCAAATCAGGAGAAAAATAGCACACAAGCAGGCAGAAATAATCAAGATGGCTGCCTGACATTCACCTCCTCACCCATTATGTGATGAGGACTCTCGCTGAACCACCCTGAACAGTTGGCTGGCTATGTCCAAGTCCCTGGACTGGTATTGTAGGCTGCCCTTGAGTTACTGTGCTGGGACCTTTTTTTGCCTGAAGTTTATCGCTCTTGACTTGAATGAGGACTCCTCATAACCACACCAAGCTTTCTAGCATTGTGTTTGCACTAAAGGGCATGGCAGTACAGCAGGACTGTGACATTAGTATCTGACTGACCAGCAGGGCAGGGGTATCGAACCTTGGTCAAAATGAGTGAGTGCTAATGCAGTAAATGAACAGCAAAAAGCTGGAACTTGGTCCAGTCCATGAGTTGGTTGCATGTCTGTGAGCACAGTGTCATAGCTGCAGCATTACATTGATAGTTACCATTGTGCCCTGAGGTGTGCAGCATTGAATGCAGGATCATCGTACAAGTGGATCAGAGACATGTCACAAGAGTTCTTTAAAGGCTGGCACATGTCAGATTTTAGTGGCTGTGGCGTCCAGGGGCCGGTTCCCATGGAGCATGCCCTGAGATGTTGGTACCTGGAGGTCCTTTGGACTAAGTAGTAAGCTAAAGTCATCTGATACTCTCACTGACTTCCACGTCAAAATTCTCAGCTTCTATTTAGTTCGCAGTGGGCAGTAGGATGGGAAGCTGTGTATTAATCGGGTGAGATGTGCAATTAATAAGGTTTTTAGGCAATTCACTGCACCCAGTGAGAATCTTGCCTTGATGCCTGGAACCTAGTAAAAAGATGCAGCGAGTTGCTGCTGATCTCGCTGGATTTCTTGGGAAGTTCTGCCATGAGTTTTGCCATAGCCAAGTCATTTCTAGCACTGATTGGATTCTGCCTGTTGACTCACCAGGACACTTCTACACGCAGTTGGTGATGATGATGGATTGCTGCTGGTCAGGTAGGGTTGGAAACTGACAAGCTCCATTTAAACGAGGCCTTTAAAATTGCCTGGATGATGGTACAGCATAAAACAAGATAAAATTGAGATTTTATGCTATCTGATACTTCAGTGAGTAGAGTTTTGGATAAACACTATCATCTATTTTTAGTTTGCTTTGAGCACTTATCTCTTCACCACCAGAGCCAACTGCAACTTAAACCTTTTGCAAAATGAAGTCAATGAGGGGTTGATACATTTGGAAATTTTGAGGGACGTGGGAGTATAAGTAAAGCAAGTGTTTAAGGCAACGATCTGAAACATGGCAAGAAGCG